GCAAGTTGTCTGAGCATTACAGCCAAACTAATTTCCCTATTATAAAGACAAAGCCTTTCAAGGTAACAAAATAAAAAAGGCAGTTATTTAGGTCAAAGTGGGTGAAGATAAAAATCTGTCATTATTTTATCCGTTATTAAGAAAAAAGGACAACGATACACATTACCTCTATACAAGTTTTATGACAAATTAAGGACGCCTAAAATAATGAAAAGGGGAAATCTATTAAAAACCTAATGAGGTTAAATGGTTATGCCAAGTCCTTAGACTTTGTATTCAATTTCATGTGGGTTTCAATATTTAGATAAAAAACAAATTGACTAAACGCACATCTTAAACTAGGGGTGGGCGAAATGGGTAAAATATCATATCACGATTTTTTTTTTTAGACATATCACGATTCAATATTTTATCACGATTTTTTGTCATGTTGGTTTTACTATTTTGCAAGTTGTCTGAGCATTACAGCCAAACTAATTTCCCTATTATAAAGACAAAGCCTTTCAAGGTATAACAAAATATAAAAAAGAATGGCGGATATTTAGGCCAAAGTGGTCGAAGACAAAAATCTTTGTCATTATTTTATCTCTGTTATTAAACAATAAGAACAAATAAACACATTACAAATACACATAATATACAAATAAAACAAACTGTGTTTTATTTTTAGGTACAATAGGTGTATTTAGCAGGAGCATTCAAGAAATTGAATGAACAAATATAAAAATAAAACACTATATAGACTGATTCCTAAAGCAACTGTATTAAAGTTCTTCAGTCAAGAATAGTGAGTGATTTTTCTCTTTGCTTTTTGTTGTTTTATCGTTAAAGGAATTGTTCACCCAAAAATAAACAATTCTGTCATCTGTCTGTCAATTCTGTCAGTGTTTTTTTATTTTTATACCATAATTTACTCACTCAAAAGCTGTTTTAAACCAGAATGAGAAATTAATACAGGTTTGGGACAACATGTGAGTGAGTAAATAATCACAGAAATTTAATTTTAGGGTGAACTATCCCTTAATGACAGTCAGCTGCATGTTTAATACTGTCCCTTTAAGAGCTGCATGCATCTAATATACAGGCACGTATCCGACTTTCTCTCAACTGTTTACTTTCATTTTAGACATAACCAACTGAGTCTATATGTAAACCTTGTGTATTTTGACAGTATTATCGCAAAAGATAACTTAGTTCGGTAATCAGGCGCTGTTTGACAGGCTTTTTATGCACTCAGAAAAAGCGCACGCCTGAACAGCACGTGAATGAAACGTTTAACCGGCAAGGCTTTAAAGCAAATGCAAATAATGTACTTTTATGATTGCGAATAAGTGCAGTGTCCCGTGAGAGTAATTCTACTGCTGAGTTAACACTGATGTGAATGCATGTGGCGTTGTACAGTATATTGAGATTTAGGCGAGAGAACTTCAGCTGATAAACTAGTGCTGTCAAACAATTAATCGTGATTAATCGCATCCAAAACAAAAGTTTTTGTTTACATAATAGCCTATATGTATGTGTGCTGTGCATATTTATTATGTATATATAAATACACACACATACAGTATATATTTAGAAAATATTTACATGTATATACATTATAA